GTTGTTGATCTCGTACGGGACTTTGATATGTTCACGGGGCACACCCAACGTACAGAACACGGATTCCTCATTCAGCGGTAGTCTTCCACGTCCCGGAATCACGAATTCTCTAGAGGCAGGGTCGTAGATCTCACCAAGCCAATCACATACAGGGTTGACAAGGTTCGTGCACCGGACAGCCATCATAGACTGCATACCCATCTCAGCAGCAGCCCCCTTCTGATCGTCGCTGAATTTATCAGTCAACGCAGTCAGTCGTTCTTGGGAGGCTCTGTTGCGAATATGTTTCTTCTTCTGCAAAAAACAGACATAAAGTGATCAGTTGTTGCCATGTTTTTACAAAAAAAAGGATATCAGTTGTTGCCGCGTTTTGCAATGTAATGAAATTTTAGTTCGTGCCAGACGACTGCGAGCTCAAAGGTGTCAACCATTAACATACATCAGGAAGAAGGGGGGTGTGTGAAAATTTACCTCATCACCCTCTTTTCTCCGCCCAGTTGCCCGATTACGCTGTGGTGGATCCATGAAATCATCATCGTCGTTTTGACGATCGCCACGAGCCATTCTGCTGAGATGGGAACATACCAAATTGTCATGGTGGACAATGTAAATGCAAGGAGGTCAGCAAAAACACTTGCCGCATGCAACGCATACGTATGGCATCTGAAACATTTGATATGCAAATTCGGTTGCCACATTGTGCAGCCAGTTTGCCATACTGTCTTATATGCAGAATGGCAACAGGCAGTCTGTTCACACTCTATTTGCCACACTGTCTTATATGCAGAATGACAACAGGCAGTGTGTTCACACTCTATTTGCCACACTGTCTTATATGCAGAATGACAACAGGCAGTGTGTTCGCACTCTATTTGCCACATGAATATACTACCCAGATGGCAACAAGCACACTTTAAGTGCGCAGTGGTTGCCATCCAGTGCAGTTGGCTCTTGAATGCCCACTGACTACCGATTGTGGCAACTGTCACACCGTGGTTACTGTCACATATCATTCGGAAAACACACTGGCCGCAATGAAAATAGAATGGTTGTGGCACCTAACACAGGAATTCAGCAATCTTAATTGCCACACGGAAAAAAGAGCGTGTGTGTGTGGCAAATATCACATTACTTCAGCAAAATTAGTTGCCACATGGAAGAGCGTGTTTGTGGCAAGTATCGCATTACGTCAGCAAAATTAGTTGCCACATGGAAGATCGTGTGTGTGGCAACTATCACATACACTGAATGAAAAAAATAGTTGCCATGTGCGAAAGCTAACATGTGGCAACTAACACAGTCGTTTTCAGTAATTTGTTGCCGCAAGAGGAAACACATTTGTGGCAACTATCAAATATGTTCAGGGAGTAAGTGGTCGCGCAATCATGATAGTTAACGTAACTGTCAAGTTCGCCTCATTCTGCATTTTCAAAAACCAAACTAACTAGATCTAGGGTTCAATGGCAACTACTTCGACTTCAAATTCACCCTCGAAATTCTTCCACGAACTCACCGCAAAACACAAAATCGAACCAACGCGCATCAAAAACTACCCGGAAGACACCTGCTCAATCCATATGCAAAGACTAGTGCGTGCCTCCGAACAAGCAGAACCACGCCGACGATGCCGCCGCCGCGGCCACGACGAAACTGGCCAGTGCAACCAAAAACGTCTAGCAGACGACTTCGGCGCCGGCGGGAACGCCGACGCATCGACGAATCGCCTGAATCTCTACGAATCTCGATCGAGGAATCGAACAGGAAGGGAAGGGAAGGAAATGCAGGAAGGGATTGCGAGGGGTGCAGCGAGCAGTACCTTCAACCCACAGGCGCTCCGGCGAGCCGCTCCGTTCCGGCGAGCACCACCGACGGTCCCGAACATCGTCGATTCTTCCGCCTTCGCCGTTGCCTTCTCCCCTCGCCTTCTCCTTCGATGGTTGGAAATGCGAGTGGGTTCTGCCAGTAACTGCAGTGCGGGAGAGTAAATGGGAGCGTGAGGGGGAGGGGGCAGAGGCGTGCGACGTCAACCGCAGTCGAAGCGTGGCGTGCGGGCGCATTGCAGTTCCACCGCACGACTCCGATGGCAACCGCTGACCGCGGGGTGGCAACCAACGTGCGGGCGAACCTACTCGCACACCGCACACGCGCCTCATCCTACGTGGCGCAAAAAACCGCCTGGTTTGTTCCAAAATTCATGCACACACCTGCCAACGGTGATGCTTGCGTGTGGTCGGGGTGGTGAACGCCCACACGTGTGGGCGTTAACATTTCCGTTAATCTTTGAAATCTTAGGCGGCCCAGCCGGGAGCGAGACGAGCCCGCTGCACGCACGCACACTTGGCACGCACCGCCCCGTGACGAGCACATGTGCGCGGCCGCAGCACAGAAACAAGTGGGGGAGGAAACACAAGAAGAAAAAGAGAAGAGAGGTGGTGGTGACGGCGAGGGAGCTGCAGCCCAACCCCTTTATACATAGAAGATATACTCCATCAATCGAAGATATATCGTTTATGTATATATCTCCAGGATATATAAAAGATATAGATAGAAGATATACTCCATCAATTGAAGATATATCTTTTATGTATATATCTTGAGGATATATAAAAAATATACATAGAAGATATACTTCATCAATCAAAAATATACACAACATTAATCGAAGAAATCCCCCGCAACCCCACCACAGTGGAATGAGCCGCCCCCTTCCAACTTGACATGTGTTGGCCCCACAGCGAGAGCACTTGTATTGCTGCTAAACAAAACAATTGGTATGGGGACAGTAACAACCTCTCCTGGAAGAAAAATCTTGTATTACTGCGCAATATTCAGGAGATATACAAAAAAGATATGCTCCATTAATGGATAAAATCTCGCGCAGTCCATCGAGAGCCAGTGAGACAACCCGCCCACTCCACCCGGACGTGCATATATATGTGAGGCGTTGGCCAACCCTAGCCGATACAAACAGATCACATCTGCTCCACGCGCACCGCCATTGTCATTCCCTTTGCTGCTGCTACCGCCGCCGACTCCATTCCGTTCACCGCGTACACGGTTGACGGGAGGACACGCCTCAGAAACCCCGCCTCTCCGTATCCTGTACGGGAGGGGGGCGATTAGGCTTTTGGGGATCGGTTACACGACTGCTCGCCTCCGATCGACTACTTCCTCTACTTCTGCGTCGTCTTCATCATCACCATGTCCAGCGACGCTGAACGTGCCGCCGGCGAGAAGCTCGAAGCCGAGAAGAAGGCCACCGAGGACGCCGCCGCCTCTGCCGGGGCTACTAGAGGGTATAACTCGTTTGTCCTGTTTCTATTGATTTCTGTTTTAATCATGCTAGCGTTACACGCAGATGCATGATCGAATAACATCATGTGTTTGTTTCTGTCAGTGCCATGCTAGTAATTTTTCATGGACTAATTTAGTCGAAAAACTGCCCTATTTGCTCGGCAAAGACAGGGAGTATATCTTGCTCGTGTAGATATACATGAACAAGATATGCTCCATCAATCGAAGATATACACAATATTAATCGAAGATATGTATATATATGAAGAAAGATACATATTGCATTAATCGGTGAAATCTTTTTTTGAATGTTGGTAGTCGGCCTACCAAATTCATTGATCAGAGGAAAAAACGAGCTACAAGGAAGCCCAGCGGGCAAAGCACCTGAGGGAGATGCAAAAGGGGAAAAGAAAAAAGGCGAAGCCCGGAGCAAGGCTAGCCCGCTGCACGCACCACCCCCGGCTCCAAGCACACGTGTCCGGCCGCTGCACAGAAACAAACGGCGGAGGAAACACAAGGGACAAAGACGAGAGAGGTGGTGGTGACGGCGAGGCCGACGGAGGCCGGAGGGAGGCGCCTACAAAAAGGGCACGCCCGTCGGGGCAACGCACCACCACCACCATCATTTCCCTCTCTCGCTTCAGTTCAGGTCGTATGCCTGAAGCCGCGGCCCGCCTGTTCCCCTTGGACTAATCAATCCAGTGATCCCCGCCCGCGGTTGTGGTCCGTCCGTCCGTCGGGCCTGCCTTCGGTTGGTTGGTTGGTCCGGGCGCCGGTCCCTCCCTCCCCCGCCCCTCCTCCTCCTCCTCCTCGTCGTCGTCGCCTAGTGGAGGTGGAGCCAGTCAGCCACCTGCTCCTCCCTCGTCGCCTTCCTCCCCTCCCCTCCCCT